CGAGAGAGCGAGAGAGCGAGAGCGAGAGAGCGAGAGAGCGAGAGCGAGAGAGCGAGAGAGCGAGAGAGAGAGAGATAAGGGAGGAGAGAAAGAGATAAGGGGAGAGATAGTACTCCTCGGGGTGAGGGAGTGACAGAGAAAAGATAAAGGGAGGAGTGAGAGAGAGAGGCAGGCAGGTTCGCCATCTCCATCGCTGTCACATCATCTCAACATACACCCGACAACAGCGCCAAAGTTTCCCACCACCGCCCGTAGGTGGCGCTAACCGTCCCCTCTCTCTCGCGCGCGCGTCTGCGCCTTGCAGAGGTCGTACTACCTGCAAGTGAAGGACGCGCTGCTCAACGACGAGGTATACTGCCCGCCGGAGACGTCCGTGCTGCTCTCCTCGTACGCCGTGCAGGCCAAGTACGGTGACTACAACAAGGAGGTGCACGACGCGGGCTTCCTCTCCGGTGACAAGCTGCTTCCACAGCGGTACGTCTTCATCGTCGTTGTCATCGTCATCGTCATAGTCATCGTGTCATAGTCATCGTCTTTATTAACCGTCATCGTCTTTTTCATAGTTGTATTTATTAACTGTCATCGTCATCTTTATTAATCGTCATCGTCATTGTCATTGTCATCTTTATTAATCGTCATTGTCATTGTCATCTTTATTAATTGTCATTGTCGTTTTCGTCTTTATTAATCGTGAATGTCATTGTCATAGTCATTGTTATCGATTGTCATTGTCATAGTCATTGTCATCTGTATTAATCGTCATCGTCATTGTCACCGAGGTTGTCGTCGTCGTCATTAGTATCATCGTCATGGTCGTTGTTGGGCATTTACAGTTGTAGCAGCATTATCAGCATCATCACCATCATCATCCTTATCTTTAGCATCATCATCATCAGCATCATATATTTATTATTGCAAGAATAATAATAAGAAAGAAAAAAGAAGAAGAAGAAGAAGAAAAAGATGAGGGATGCAAATCAGTATGAGAGCGTTGCCTCGTGCCGACTAGCCGTCGCCATGGTTACGATGTGCATCTTCTGTTGCAGGGTATTTGACCAGCACAAGTTGTCACGGGAACAGTGGGAGGAGAGGATCACTAACTGGTACATCGAGCACAAGGGCATGCCCAGGTGAGCGGGTTGACCAGAATTCGTCCTACGCCTATCAAAAAACCGGGAGAGTCCCGGAATATTAAAACTAACTTTTCCGGGTCTGAAAGGTCCTGGAATATTGGTACTAGTCTTGGAAAATAAGCTATGGTTCCTGACAAATAGGCTATTATTGTGTTATGACCTAGAAGGTCCTTGAAATTGTCAAAAGTAGTTCTGGAATATTGGTACTAGACTTTGAAAATAGACTATGGTCCTGGAAAGTCCTGAGAAAGAGGCTATTATTGTGTTTTGTGTGAGAAACTGCTTGAAATTGAGCTTGTGTCTATCTGATCTCTCAATCATCTGATAAGCAATCAAATTTGCCTCATGCAAAAATATGTTCACTAATTCTTGATTGGACGATACGAGCGACAAATATTTAATTCCGCTAAACTCACGCAGCCATGTGAAATGGACCTTTTTTGTCATTGTCATGGAAGTTCCCGGACACAACTGTTTTCCTTTATATGTAGGAAACCTGATTCTAATTTAACTTATTATTAACTAGCATAACCTTAAATTATAAGCTTACTTGTAAGTAACCAATATAGCATAGTATTATAAACTTGCTAATAACATAACTAACTGGCATTACCTAATCTTATAAGCTAAAACGTACAACTAACTTATATAACCTAGTATTATAAATATAAGCTACCTTAACTGACGCGCTAACTTTAACTGATCACCATAACTGACTATATAACAATAAATATATTTATCTGCTTGCAGGGAGGATGCCATGATGGAATACTTGAAGATCGCTCAAGATCTTGAGATGTATGGAGTCAATTACTTTGACATTAAGAACAAGAAAGGCACTGAGCTCTACCTGGGAGTCGACGCGCTCGGATTAAATATCTACGAGAAAGACGACAAGTACGTGCCTATCTTTCCCTCTCTCTCTATATATATATATATCTTGTTCTCCCTCTCTCTCTCTATCTTTTTCTCGCTCTCTCTCTCTATCTCTCTCTCTCTCTCTCTCTCTCTCTCTATCTTTTTCTCGCTCTCTCTCTCTTTCTCTTTCTCTCTCTCTGTCTCTCTTTCTCTCTCTTTCTCTCTCTCTCTTTCTCTCTCTCTCTTTCTTTCTTTCTCTCTCTCTCTCTCCACATTCTCTATCATTTCTCTCTCTCTCGTCTCTCCCTTTCACCCTTCTCCCTCTTTACTTTCAGTTAGAATGCGTGTGTGCGAGTGTGCGTGCATGTGTGCATGTGTATTCGTGGATCTGTGTGCCTTCATTTCTATGACCCGCTCTGTTTCTGTTTTGTTTTCACTTTCTTTCTTTCTCCCCTCTCTTTGAATTAAATTGACTACGTCACGAATTTTCTATGGTGATATTTGTAAAAGAAATTGTTTCCTTTTTTTTACATTAAAAGTAAGTACTAACGGGACTAAACAAATCGTCAAATTCTTACCTGATAAGATTGTTTCTCAACTAGTTAAAAATCCAAAAAACCTGGACGATTTGATATTATGATCCTGACATTAATTGCTTGCTATGGGCTATGTATGAGTCACGAGTGTATGTTTACATCGAACAATATAGTAAAACAGGAAGTATAATGCAGCAATTTAACCATAAAAGGTGAACGGAATTACTTACATTTTGTGAAAAAGTGGAAATATTTTTTTTAGTTTTATTATTTACTGTGACGTAATCGCTTAAAATACGCAATAGAGAGGCGGGCAAGGTTAAATACGTGGCCGGTGTGTCGATGGGAAGATGATGGAGGTGAAATAGATGGGAAACATCCGGGCCTGTAAACGGCCTGACGTAATCACTTTAAATCTCCTCGGGAGCATCAGCTCATCCTGTCTCCTCTTCTTCAGGATGAATCCCAAGATTGGCTTCCCCTGGAGTGAGATCAGGAACATCTCTTTTCACGACAAGAAATTCTGCATCAAACCCATTGACAAGAAAGCACCCGTACGTATGATTGAGATGATACAATAATAATAGTAATAAGAAGAATTTTAATGACAATAATATAGATTATATTTCATGTAGAAAAAATTCCGTCAAAATCCGTGATATTTTTGAGATATCCTGTTGACAGACAAACAAACCAACAAACAAACAAACAAACAGGGGCGAAAACATAACCTCCTTGGCGGAGGTAATAATAGCTTCCTCTGGCTCCTCCTCGTCACATCAATAATTGGCTTCCTCTGTCTCCTCTCTCGGTGCAGGACTTCATCTTCTACGCGCCGCGTCTGCGTGTAAACAAGAGAATCCTCGCGCTGTGCATGGGCAACCACGAACTGTACCTACGCAGACGCAAGCCTGACACCATCGAGGTGCAGCAGATGAAGGCACAGGCAAAGGAGGAGAGATCCGCCAAGGAGCAGGAGAGGTAGGAGCAGTGGAGGAGGAGGGGAAGAGGTGATAGGGAGGAGAGGTGGTAGATGTACGAAGGAAGAGAGGAGATAGGTACAGCAAAGGAGCAGAGGTCTGCCAAGGAGCAGGAGAGGTAGGTGCAGTAGAGGAGGAGGGGAAGAACGGAAGGAAGGGTGGTAGATGTACGAAGGAGGAGAGGAGATAGGTACAGCAAAGGAGCAGAGGTATGCCAAGGAGCAGGAGAGGTAGGAGCAGTAGATGAGGAGGGGAAGGGAGGAGGGGTGGTAGATGAAGGCACAGGCAAAGGAGGAGAGGTCTGCCAAGGAGCAGGAGAGGTAGGTGCAGTAGAGGAGGAGGGAAAGAATGGAAGGGAGGCGGGTGGGTATGGAAGAGGAAGGAAGGAAGGAGGAGGAGAGGTAGGTGCAGTAGAGGAGGAGGGGTGGTATATGAACGAAGGAGGGAAGGAGGAGGAGAGATAGGTGCAGTAGAAGAGGAGGGGAAGAAAGGAAGGGAGGAGGGGTGGTATATGAACGAAGGAGGAGGAGAGATAGGTGCAGTAGAAGAGGAGGGGAAGAAAGGAAGGGAGGAGGGGTGGTATATGAACGAAGGAGGAGAGGAGATAGGTACAGCAAAGGAGCAGAGGTCTGCCAAGGAGCAGGAGAGGTAGGTGCAGTAGAGGAGGAGGGGAAGAACGGAAGGAAGGGTGGTAGATGTACGAAGGAGGAGAGGAGATAGGTACAGCAAAGGAGCAGAGGTATGCCAAGGAGCAGGAGAGGTAGGTGCAGTAGAGGAGGAGGGGAAGAACGGAAGGAAGGGTGGTAGATGTACGAAGG